GTGTGTGCATAGTCTGGTCAAGTGATGCTGTTGAAAGGGCGAATGGGATAACCGAAACTGCACAGAGTATTGGATCTAGCTTATACGTCAGCCAAGTATGTCTAGAGCATCCTCTAAAATACAGGACCCACCTGACATTCCCCATCTTAGAATACCACATAGATCATCCAGACCCATCTCTGAAGTCCTATGGGCAAGTAATGGATTAGTAATTTGTGGCAAACTTGCCCAGTTGTCATCTGTCTCTGCACAGCAGTGCAAATGCCATCTTCTTGATGAAATGATGAGCCCGCTTTCTTAATGAGACCCAAATTTCATCCTTTCCTCCTAGGAGTGGCAGAACTACAGCTTAAGAGAGTTGAGTTCTGTTTCTTTTTGACCTAGAAGCCAAGCTATCCTTTCTCCCTCGTTAATGGCAGAAGTCTACCTACTTCTCTGTATGACATAACATGGCACATTGCTTATGAATAAAGGAAAGAAAAACACAAAGTTGAGAATTTTAAGCCCAGAATAACTTCCTTTTATGGAATAATGTCAGCCCAGTGAACTGAAGCAGGTACCAACCTGCCTCTGGCTCACAGAGCTCAGAACTGCAGACAGAAATGTTTTGATAGATCCCTTCTGAGAGTGATACAAGAAGAAGAACTGGTCACAACATTTAAAAAAAAAAAAATAGGTAGGTGATGGATCCAAGACAAATTACAGCAAACAGATAGGAACAGTGAACAGCCATGAGAATAACTGCACTTTGTCAGCAGTAGTAAAGGAAATGGAAGTTGGTGACATTTGTTCTTGCTATGTCCTAAATACAAAGGTAGCACAAAACTGCCCCAGTGAGAGACCAGATCTTTGGCTTGTCCTGGGTACCTCAGTCATAATAAGCCGCTTATTTATTTTTGGAGGAAAAGCTTTCTCACTAAGTAGACTGTGCTCTCCTGTGAGCCCCTGAATAAGGTGGAAGGTGTCAGACATATCATGAAATGTTCAGACAAGAATTGATGAGGGTGAGGAAGCAGCAGTAATTTATTATCACAAGCTATTTCCTTTATAGTGATCAGAAAAACATAATTTTGGGCTGGGCTTTGAAAAACAGTAAAGGAACAAAGATGACCCCCTCCAACATTTTTTCCTTCAACATCTATTGTCTTTCTTAGCTTCGTAGCACACGTCTTTGGCATGTAAAATCAGAGGCAGTTGGCCATAATTCTGATGATTTTACACTGATGAATTCTATATGACTTTGAAGTATGCATTAATTGAATAGATAAATGCAATTAAATTCACATACATATATTTGAGTGCATTTTTGGAGGTATATTAATCTCTTTATTTGAATACCTACTTAGTTTAAACAGCTGTAGATAGAGAGGTTCTAACTGAGGTGAACTTTAAATGCCCACGTACATCAGGGAATCTTTCACAGACTAATGACTGAGTGATCGGTTAAAGATTAGCAAATTTTGTTAATTATGAAGCAAGAGAACAAGCAATTAATAAATGCAAGATGTACTTTCCTCATTTATTTGACAAGTGTTTAATTTATTTATGATTTTTTTCATAGCCTACTAGTAAATATTCTGTAATGAAATTTGCAAATGAAAGCAACTATATTAACACTGACCCTACTATAGTACTCTGTTATTACAACTTTGCTCAGCAGTCAGGAATGATACACTTCGGGGTAAATCAGAAGGTGCACACAAATTAGATTCTACTGTATAAGAATCAATTTATCATGCATGTGTCACAGCTTGATGATATAGCTATAAGATTAATAATCATAACATTAATTTATAATTTACAGTTATCAGTGTAACAATAATTGTGTAGTCATCCCAGATTTTTATTTTGATTTGCTGGTTTGATCACATCCATTTTTCAATCAGGGTCAGGCCCATCTATTGTGTGTTATGTGTCATGGGATATCTTGAGGTACAGGAATTAAATATTTTATAAAATGCTGACCTGCACTATTCCCCATTCACATTTTATTTAAAAAATCTGCAAGTAAAACAAGTGACCTCTACCACCTACTATACATACACAAAAACCAGTGTAGCCCGTTATTTATAAATTATGACATACTTCAATATTAGACTTCAAAAGGCTCTTAGTGATTGAAGAACTAGTGTGGAAAGCATTATAAGAATAAAATTATTTTTCAATTACATTACTTAATAGCTACAGGAAAATACTGATGTCTAGTGTTAATCCTTTGAAGTTCATTTAGAAGGAATGAACAGAGAAAACACAATATCCAAGGAAAATGAAGACGAATATAGGTGTAAATGTATAATGGATTGAGTTAATTTTTGAAGCAAGTCTACTGAAGTCGAAGACTTCAAACTAGTCATTTAGTTCATGGAATGGAGTGGTCCAGCAGCATCATTGAATAGTTGGGATGCTCTCTTAATTCTAATGATTGCTTTTGAGGATAGACACACTTGACTTAAAACCAGATGAGGTATGCATTAAGTAAGACAAAGGGCAAAGCAAGTAAGCTGGAAAGGACTGCAAATGATAGAGCATGGATTAAGAGCTGTATTCTGAAGGATGACTTTCTTTTGCCTGGGCTCCCCGCACCTTCTGCAATAGGTGCTTCATACATAACATACCTGTGTAGGAGACTGCACGCAATAACTGCATTTTACACAGATTTCCTTAGCATGGGTAGGAGAAATCAGAGCCACCCCTGAAATCTATACCTCCAACAGAACCTAAGTCAGCTGAAAATTTCTTAACCAATACAGTAATTCTCCTGCTGAACTGGAAGTTTAAAGTCATATTATGAAAGGAGGGGAGTTGGAGCTATTTCAGATGAGACTGAGAGAAGATGAAAGCAACATCAAAACTGGTTAAACGAGACAACTAGAAGTATCCACTCTAAAGTGTAATGTCAGCACAGTACAATAGTCAATGCATTTACAAAACACAGCTTTGAACTTCTGAAGCTACACGAAAGGCTCCATGAGCTTTTTCCACCCTAACAGCTTCTGACAAAAGCCTTTCACAGAAACTAAATGACAAGAGCTCAACTGATAAAACTTTCAAGATTAAACTTTGCCTCCTCACAACAGTGTGATTAAACAATTTCCACCTGAAACTCAACATACCCATGAAAAAAAGGCTAGTGACAGACCTAAAAGGGCTTGGTATGTTTTCCTTGGAATTTGTGTGTTGGCAGAGCAATTCTCTTTTATATGCCTATATCAATTCTTTTATTTATGAGAAATGGCTAAATTTCCCAACAGTTTTCTATTCTTTCCCTTAAATTCGAATTTTACTTTGGTTCCACTGTCTTTCTCTGGCTCTTCTTCTGTCCATTTAAAATTCCTTACCATGCCTACCATAAAAACCATCTGTGGTGTTCAATAATTAAGTCTTTTATTTCTGATACTTTATATATTGCAAAGAAAAAGACAAATGAAACACTTTTCAGAGTGGCTACTGGCAGAGACTGTACTGTCTGTCATCACATTTGCAGTATGCAAAAAAGACATAAGCCAATTATTTTTTGTCTGGACATACAGTCTGTTCCTATGCCCAAGAAATGGAAATTACCTTTGGTGCAGCACCTGAGGCTTTGAAAGATGTTAGTGTTTCCCTTACAAATCCACTTTTTGGGTATAATGTGTAACTTATCAATTGTGCATTTTCTGAAACATAACATCCTTGTTCTCAGCTAGGAATGCATTTTAAAAGTCTCTCCTTGGAAGTCATTGGATTAGGAAATCATTACCGCCAGTAGGAGGCAAGTGATTAACACCTTCTTTGCTTCCATTTTTATGTAGTTAATTATATCACATTTTTAAAAGCCGTTAAGCATAAAGACACAGAATGGACTTTTATTCCAGCTGGTATCCAATTTTCTCCATGTGATGGAATACCACCCTTTTGTTCAGTTCATGTGCCCCTCTTTTATTAATTGGCCTGAAGATTTTGGCAGTAAGCAGGACACAAAATTGTGTATTTAATAAGGCAAAGATGTGAGAAGAAGCAGATGTTAAAACCCATTCTGAAATAGTTTGATTGTGTGGCTAATATTAAAAAAGTAACATGCTGGCTCCATTGCAGTCAGTAGATATATAACTATTGACTTCAAAAGGCTTTGAACGATTTTGCAAACAAACCAGTGGGCTGCATTAACACTCCATTAAGCAGTTTTCTTCCTCTGACTTTCCGTGACATTAATTAGAGCACTAGATTTCAGAGGTGACAGCATCAAGAACGTTAAAATGATTGAGCTCTTACAAACTGTTCTTTCAAATCGCACTATACAATAGGTTGCTGTCTAGGTAAGCTATACCCGTTTACAATCTTTGTGTAAACTTCTGTGGACTCTTTATGCTGTGAAAAGCAGTTCCTGAGTATGTACTTGACTGTGATTGCACAATTTCTTTCTCAGTGTTAACAAAAACCCCATCAGATCACACATCTTTCTACCTGACACGGGGACACGACTGTACCTCTCCTGTTGCAAAAGGTGTTTACAGAGGTGCACTGAACTTGATGGGTTTTTTTTCTTAAATCCAGAGGTGGTTGCAACCCACTGGCAATGCTGAGGATGTCCCTGTCCTCTGTTCAGTCATTGATAGGTGGGAAAAAGGAGGAGGGACCAGGACATGCAGTGTATGCAGAGGAGCACACAGTCCCTGACGGTCACATGGCACTGTGTATTTGCTTCCTCATACTTACCGTCACCTTTGGTCCTATAGCTGGGCAGAAAATACTGGGATTAATAGTGGGACTAATAGGGATGGGGCAATGTGAAGCAGGTAGGGAAGAAAGATCGAGGACTTTAGCCCGATTGAATAAGTCTTTGTCTGAAAGAACTATTCAGTGTCTCTAGAGATTTATTCTTGAAGATTAAACCAACTCCAATAGAGCAAGTGGCTTTTAGAAGCTTTATATGTGATGCCATGCCCCAAATAAACACGCCATTTTCCCCCACTAGAGGCATGTTATAAAACTGCTTTTATTCAATAAAATGCAACACTTACCTGTAAGACCAGCAGCTTCTGCTGATAAGAAGGCACTCCAGGATAGGAGGAAAACCAGACCTGTCTCCAACATAGGGAACTCACACAGCTTTGTAAATTTTGTCAAGTGCTAAAAGATTACTAAGGAAAAATAAAAACCCAACTGTTTTGTAAGCTAAAATTGCCCCCAACCTGATAAAGGATGAAAGAAAAAAATCCCCTCTCCCATACTCATCTGTACAAGTTGAATTCAGGAAAAACTGCACAGCTGCTAAATTATCTCAAACAGAGAGGAAAATCCAGCACAGCTTTTAAACAGGTGAATTCTACAAGTCAGCGATTTCAAGGACTTTTGTGGTTTTTGAACTAATGCCTAATTGGTTGCATTTTATATTCTTTTCCCAGAAAAAGGGAAAAGAAAGTAATTTTGTCTAGTTTTGTAAACAAACTGGCTTTTGCTTACATTTGCATCAAACCAAGAAAGCTGAAAATCACTGCTCTTTCTACGATTTTACATAAAGAACTGTAAAACACAAGAAAAAATGCAGGGCAACAGATATGCCTTTTATTTCTAGTTTAGGTAAACTGACTGACTTCATTTGTAGTCTAGTGTTTGCCTTGTATTTTTGTATAATTGCTGCTAGTTTGCAGTTCATAAATTCATGTTTTAACCTCAAAATACACCTCAAAACACTTTCCTAAAAATGTAAGTATTTACAAATAGTAAAATAAAGACCAGAGTCTTGCCTAATGTTAAAAAGAAATATGCATATTAAGTTCTTTGTGGGTTCTGACAAGTGAATTTTCCTGTCAATTTATGGTTTGACTGTTTGCTTGCAAAGTCTTGAATCAACAGTGAAAAGGTTCGGGCTCAAACTAAAGATGGTCAGTCTCAGATACCACACTTTTTTCCAACATATATAGATTTTCTCTCTGGAAACAAACCATAAAGGATATTAAAGCTGTGACAACAGCATAAGAGGATCCCATGGCAAATGATCCAGCAAAGATCCCTAGGAAATTTCCCACTGACTGGAAGAAAGCAGCAGCATCAAACGCATTAGGATTCTCCTTAGGACTGTAAATGGATATAGAGCTGAAAAGAAAACAAAGGGATGGGGGAGAGGGAGAGGAAAAGGAATAATGAATTCAATCACATTGTTATGATATTGGAACCAATAATTGAACATGGGTATTTTTAGGGACTCAAAATGCAAAACAAGGCTTCTCTGGGCTGATAGCAGATGGGAGAGCAAAGCAGGTGGGGACTGGGGGAAACGGTTTATTTTCAAGGTATCATACTGGAAATCAATAGTCTACTGCCAGTCAGTAAACATTTTTATACTAGAAGTGCCATAAAGGATATTGTTTCCAGGCCAACTAAACATTAAAAGGTGGTAGGTGTATAAGAAAACTGCAGGGAAGATGGATAACTTTGAATTATTTATTGGCCATATGTCTTCAGAGCAGTTATATATTCACAAATATTCTTGATAAAAAGTGCAGCTTTATGGCTGAGGCTCAAATGGGTGACACAAATCACAGTAGGTACCAAATCTGCAGCAGCAATCTCGTCATAAACCACCCAGTAGTTCCCTTCTTGGTGTAACCCTTCATAAATAGAGCTGAAAGCATATCAAGAGCTCAACAATAGGAAACCTTGTGGACAGAATGAATGTTGTCCCACAGAAAGAAACTGCTGCAGTTGTCAAAGGTCACCTCCTGTACCCCACTCCTGAGTACAGCCATCAAGAGTATTCTTGAATGGGAAGTGATGCTACCAAAGGGAAGGCCGTGCACTAAAGCATTTTTCAGAGTTTCAGGGTTGTTATTTGCTACTACTCAGTTACTGCCCAGAACACTAGTAACACCAAGTATGTATGCCTTTTTTCTTCTTGAAACATTAAATTTAACAGATACAAAATAGCCCTAAGCCTCCGAAACACTAATTAAGCAACATTTTAGATCTTTGTGGTTCTGTTGCTTTCAGTACTGCAGGTCTTTTGTGTTCATTGTCAAAGAATATGCACTGAGCTTGGCATTGGATTCCAGAAAGCAGCTTGGATTGCTGGAAAATGATTGGTATTTTAAGCATTAAAAATTTAGACGTTTTAAAATGTTTTGAATATTTTAAGCTCTTGCATATTAAGAATGTGATCCCTGCAGTCTGATGTCTTCCATCTGGAGATGAGGCTTAGAGATGAAGCTCTGTATGGAGGATTTTCTAAACAGTTGCATTAATTTAGGAATCTCCAAATAACATGAAGACATGTGAAAACAGATCTCATGCTTTCAGTCTGTAAAATGGCACAAGGATTCTCAAGGCATATGGTGGAGCACCACTAAAAACGAGCGGTGAATACTTATCCACTACAACAGAAATTACTAAGCACCAAAACCTGGTATCTCCAGTTACGCTGAGTAGCACCACCACAAAACTAGTCAGATGATTTGTAGCGGAAAGTGCTATTAATGCAAGTACACAAAATATTGTTCCCAGAGGAAATGCTAATCGACAACATGTTGCTATCTACATTTTCAGTCCTTTTTCAACTGTGACTCTCTTAGACTAGGGGTCAGTTATAATTCTTTGCTTCTCTTGCCTTCAGATGATTCTCTGAATGTTTGTCATCTCTGGCCTACTCAAAATTTATTGTTTTAGACCCCATATGAAATAAAGAACTATATTAAGCCATACATACACTCTCTAAGCTGATGGAATAGTTCTATCAAAGGAAATCCTATCAGCTGTGATACTGTATGTTTATAGTCCATTTACTAAGTGTATTTTGTATACTCAGGGAGGGCTTCAGTTTAGCTAGTTATTTCAAGTTGAAACTATTTGGTAGTGTAACTGGAACTGTTAGATCTAAAACTTTTAGGTGTCTCTTGACAGCAAAGCAGGCACTTGGTTCTCTGATATTTGCCCCAAATAAGTATACAGAGACTGCAGCTGCTGCTCTGTACTGCTTAGTGAATTATAAATCAGGAAATGATCTTTTGTGCCACTGGTGCTGCCGCAAGCAGTGGTGGATTCAGAGAGGTCAACCTGGCTACACCCTAAAATCAAGGAATATTGTTCTATCATATTGATGGGCTTTCCCCACGGAAGGGATGCTCAGTAATAAAAAGTAAAACAAAAAAACCTTGACATGGAGTGAAAGTTTAGTAGTCAAATGTAAGCTATAGCCATTAACTGACTTTTTATTAAGTATGCTAACCTGAAGGAAAGAAAAGTTGACTTTGTTAAGACCAGTTAGGGTTCCAGTTTGCCCTCCAATTTACCAGCAGCTTTCAGATACAGAGAAAACTAGAAGAAAGCATCCTGTTCTTAATGTAGTTATTTCAGGAACAAACATGGAGTGACTCATTCTCACTGGGAAATTTTTCTACTCAATATGCCCCCCTAAGCCCCATGATTTTTTAAAAGCACCATAACACAACATATGTTTATTATGCTAACTGTGGTTTCTGGTCTAAATCTTTCCAGAACTCAGGTTTCCCTGCAGCTCAAAGAGTATTTAGTTCTATTTTTCATTTTGCATTATTCTGTACTAGAGCTGTTGTTTCTTTTTCTGAATGTTTCTTCTTTGACACCTTTAACCCTTTCAAGCATCTAAAATACATACTACTTTACCTGATAATTTTTCTATATAAGCTGTATTTCAACAGAACAGGATTTTATCCTGTTTATTCCAGTACTTCCTGCCAAGCCAATTATTTGACCTAAAAACAAATTTGCAAAGTTTAACACTGGAGAGAACCATAATTAAACTGACAGTGCCTCTACTCTTCTTCCTTTTCCTCAGAGAGCAATTCAAGACATGCTGGCATGACTTGCCATTTCTGCTATCTGCTTTCTGTGCCTGATACAAAAGGCGTTGATCGCAGTTCATTAAGAAGCAGTATGTGAGACTTTGATACTAAATTTGAAACTGTGTTTATTTTTTAAATATTAGAGGCTTTCTAATTGTTGAACTAGTATAAGAAAAAAATGGGTTTATTTCTGTAAACTTGTATCAGAGGTGGATTAAGCAAATCCTGAAAATAAATGCAGTAGAAAACTGTTTTCAGAAATTGATAAATGAACAAAACTAATGGCAAACATATGCTTTATCTACCAACCATAATGAGACAGAGTGGAGGAATAGGAATAAAAAATTTTTGTTGGGTCCTCACTGACTGCTTGATAGACATATCTCACAAACACCTGCCCTAGTCCCCATCTATCTATATGTAAGTTTGGTAACCTCTGCCTCTCCTTCAGGTTGGAGTGAAGAATAATACTGGGCTTCCTTGCTGGTTCTTATGAGGATTAGCCAGCACTTTGTATATTAGAAAACTGTTTAAGAGATCCCTTTTTCTCTCCAGTTCTTCTGTGCTTCCTTGACCAATGGACAGGGTCAAGTGCTTTCAGCCTTCAAAAAGGAAATACAGGCAATATTTATTTATACAATAAATTGCAAGTTAGGATGGTAGCTTTTGCTTGAAACAGAAACAAGGATTCACAGTTTGTGCCAGTTGTACCACACTGATCATTCCACTTCTTCCCTCCCCTCATCTGTTAAGATGATTTTAGGATGAAAGCTCAGCATGACGAAGAATGTTTCTTTCTATGGACTTATATGGGGATATAATCATACTCAAGGTCTCCATGACAAGCTGAAGTGCAATTGCAATAGAAAGAGTACTGTCCAGTTACATCTTGATTACTTCTTACATCTTCAGTTATTCTCAAGGAAAATCTCATTTATTCATAAGATCCTTTTCTTCCTGTAAGTTTTCCCAGCGTGTGAATGTAGCACAATGTATTTTCCTTTCAAAAAAATTGAAAGCATTTAGGATCAGAGGAAAGATTTTTCAGTAAGTCATGGAAGTTTTCTGAGGAAAAATCTGTCGGTGAGTTTAAATCTTGTATCCTACCTTTTGTTTCTGTCAAGACCTGATGTGCCTAGGGCTAGTGTGACAGCATCAAATAAAGAGAGGTTCATCAGTTGTAACTAGCAGAACAGCACAAAGATCCTTGGTTTTGATATAAGCCAAAGTGATGCAACACATGTATCAGATGAATTTTAGAAAAAGGCAATATGCTGAAGAAAACACACTCAAGCATCAGAAGGAAAAGGTGTGCAAACAGCAGAAAATTTCTAATAGAATGATGTGGAATCAATGGTTATAAAAAACCAGAAAAAAGCTGTTTTATCCTTTCTTCCTCCTTCTGTCTCTGACCAACACGAAAACAAACAGCTTATTGTCTTTGGAGAGGAAGATTTCTTTCCCCTTGCTAAGTCAAAGTGCTTCCTCTTGCCCAGTGGCCACCACCTTATTTGCTGCACTACCATGTGCCACATAATACTGCGCAGAAGAGAATCAGGAACAATCTAAAAAAAAAAAAGATACCTGCAAATACAGGAAGGTCAGATATTCCTTAAAATACCTTCACTGAATGAAGTGGGATCTCCCTCAGGTGATAAATAATTATAGAACTACATGGTGATTTCATCAGCTGCTAATTAAGAAAAATAAAACAGGCCAGGAAAAAAAAAAATTCTAGAGTTCAAGGTTGTTTTTAAGAGGGAAAGAAGGTTATTTTTTCCTGACCTTATACAGAAAAAGGTAGGTCACTGTACTGTGTTAGAAACTTGGAGCTTTTGGAGAAGTGGATTGAACTGAACAATTTCTGTTCCCACACAACTTTTTAACTATATGGTTTTCATAAAAGTGTTGATGGAAAGCCGGAAAGACAGAACTGTAATTTCCCACAATGTAAGTGAACTAGAAGCTAGATGTGAAACCGCATGCATAGCACAAAACACCTACACCTTCTCTTGGCAAGTTTTAGGTTGGTAAAGGCTTTCAGGCTTCCTCATAAAATAGCTCCTGACACAGTAATAGTAAGTAGATGAACTATAAAAATACAAACAAATGAGATAAGATTGAGTATGCTAAGCCAACAAAAGCACATATGAAGTAGGGGAGGTTTGCAGACAATTAAGGGAGAGCAAAGAAGAGACACACCAGTGCAGGAAGGCTTTAGGACTAGCAAAAGCAGCCAATTGTAACAGTCGTTTGAGGCAGAGATATATACAGAGATCC